GCCCTCGAGAAAATTCCCGCCTGAAATTTTCACGTGTCTTATCTGTAGGTAAGGTTTAAGCATGTATGAAAGCTAAATTACATTAGCCCATCGATATGGATAGGAAACACCCTCCTATAATTTCAGCTTTCTTGCTTTTCTGCTTGCTGAGTTAATCCGGAAAAAAATAAGAACGCACTCGTACGCAAGTGTGAAAAGGATGGACGCTGACAATTCATATTCTGCATCGCTGCTACAGCGTTCTTCAAAAATTCATGCGAAGCTTTATTTCCAGACGATTTGGATTATCGCACAGCCTTGTCAAACCCGAAGGCTCATCGATGCAGATATGTACATCAGTGGGATTCTATGGCTTTGTTATTTAAACCATTAGTGTGCTATTCTCTCTTTATGGCTGTCTTTTTTTGGAACGTCTTCCTGGTATAAAGACGACGCTACTTTGAGCGTGTTGTGTGGAATGTACCCGACTGGAACGTTGTTTGTGCGACCGGGTAGAATATCGCGGGCAATATCTATAAGGTGCACCCCGTCGCGGTGGTTCACTGAGAGAACGTCTGAATCGAAGTTCCGCTGTTGCTTGACGAGCCAGCTTGTCCGCCTAGAACGATGACTTGAAATTTACTCCGGAATAATAAAACCATCCAACGTCAGTAGTTTTTTTATGCGTTTTGTGCTGTGTAACAGCAGTATAAGACGCGTGTGTTTGTGTGTCCGATGCGTTTTGTCCCGCACTTTCAACTCGAGAACCACGAAAGCTAGGAGGCTGGAATTTTGGTAGAATGTTTCCCACCAGCGTTTGACCCCGCAACCTTAAATTCGGCCTTCACTTGTCCACGGGTACCAAGCATGACCCCGCAAAAGCTTTGAGGGGAAAATTATTATCTCGGGGACCACGAAAGCTAGGAAATTGAAATTTTGCGGTAATGTGCGCTGCCCACATACAACCACATAGCAAATTTAAATTCAGAATTCCCGCGCTCTCGGGTACAGCATACGATCCTGTGAAAGTTTTGGCGGGGAAAATTATTATCTCGGGAACCATAAAGCTAGGAAGCTGAAATTTAAAGGTAATGTCCCGTGCCTAAATAGGACCCCGAA